GTGTTCAGGTATTTGTTGATATCCTCGTTGGAGTTGGTGTTTTTGGACGACACCATCTCCTCGTATGCGTTGTCGGGCATTCCCCACGGGTGGTGCGTAGTGCCCGTCAGATGCGTCAGGAACAGCCGGCGGTGGTTGTGTTCGGCATCGTCGAGCGCATCGCGCACGTAGTCGCCCAGTACCATATCAGGGTAACCGTAATAGTTGACCTCCTTCGACGAGGTCGCGGAATGCGTTGCATTTTCCTGTTCCAAAGACTCTTTGGTCACAACGTCATGGAATCCCAACTTCGGTGTGAGCTTGTCCTGATTATCATAGCCCTCGGTGACGGATTGCATCCATGCCGAATGCCATGGCCAGGTGCGGTAGTCGGAGTTATCAATGGTGCGGTTGGTATCCACATCATCCTGGTGGTTGAATGCATCCAGAATATGCGGCATGCACGGCTGATAGATGTGATGGTTGTATTCGCGGTTAAAGTCGGCGACTAATGGCGTCACTCCGCACACCGTCCCGACAAGACTCTTCAGGGTGTAGGTGCCCGTCGTAAAAGCGTTGCGGGCGCTGATGCCGCCATATGACCGCCGGCCGTAATCATGCTCGTTGTCGTGACCGAATCCCGCGTCAAAGCCGGTTAGGAATTCGGAGGTGCGGGTAAGGTTTGCGACTAGCTTTTGAACGTCGTCGGGAATTTTCTTATCTGAATAAGTTTTGGCGATGCGGTTCCACATGAAAGCGTCCTTGCGCAGGGGAAAGACGTCGCTCCGAGTACTCTCCAACTTGATAAGGATAACATGTTTAATGTTGACGTTGCCGCTGGATAGGACCTCCTGCAAGGAGTCCAGCACCGGATTCTGCAGGTTAGATACATGCAACGGGTCACTTTCGGGGTTGTAATGCAACCGAGGCACATCCGTCCTGGTCCAGTCTTCAAAGCCGGGCAGTCCTCCCTTTGGCAGCCAGTCCCATTTGGGTACCTTGTCTAACGGAGTGCGACTCTCCAACCACTCATAGTCGCCCGGCAGCCCCCCAGCGCGGACGGGGGAGTGTCGGTGGCCACCGATGAAGGGTGCCACTGGCAAGGCTTCTGACAGAAACATGTAGGCGGGATCCCAGGGTCGAACCACACGCAGCAAGACCAAGCTGAGGAATGGCACCCAGACAACCAGCTTAACCAGAATCGAGTGTCCCCGTCTCGTGACAGGTGCAACTTCACCATACGGCTCGAGAAGGTGGATCGAAGAGCCATCGTCACTCTTATCGTCGAGATAGTCATCGACGCCGATCTGCTCGTAGATCTCGGGTTCCGGCAATCCAGATCTCGGGCGGAACGCGCGAACCCGGCTCATACAACGGAACAAACATTTGAATGGCTGTCCCAGGATTGTGAGGATGCCACCAACAACGCGATGCAGTGGTGCAGACAGAAACCATGCTATAGTGAGCAGAATGCCTTCCACGATCAAGAATCCTGTCAGTCCCTGCAACAATGTGCGCATGGCAGCGGCATCGCGGTGGAAGGTTTTGGCTTGTCGCCAGTGAATTTCGGCACCGGTGACGATGTAAAAGGAGGTATTTGCGGCGGTCATTCCGGACATGATTAAACTAGATGGGTCAGTGATTGACAGGCATTTCTGGTATGTGCGCAGCCTACCTAAATGGTACAATCACCAGAGCTGATAACAATGCAACAGTGCGCCAATGGAATTTCTGGGTGAAGAAGCGGATGAGGAGGGTGAGAATCACATCCTGGAAGAAAAAGGTCGAGCCCCAGAGGAAGAATTTAGGAGGAGGGAGAGAATGGATGTGAGCGTAAAGATGCAACAATTTGGCGCCAAAAAGTGCGATGAAGGAGACAGTGAAGAAATATCGGCGTGTGAACTCCCATGTGTAGTCGAAGAACTCGCCAGGAGATGTACGCAGACGCTGCAGGGCAGGGCCACAGCGACGGAGGGGATTGAAGAGCTTCATGGTGCAGCAGGAAAGTCACAGTATCTCAGCAGACGGACCGCATGGCACCACGGACTAAGAGCACACCCATTGAAGGGTGGAGGGACGGAGATGGCGTGACCGGGATGGGAGCCCGGAATGATGGAAGAAGGCGTCAAAAGAGAAAGAAGGGAATGAGGGGTTCTTCAAGAAGAGAGGAGGAGGAAGAAGAAGAGGAGAAAGAAAAAGAGGAGAGAGATGGGGAAAGAAGAGCAGGACGCCATGATGATGGAGGCCTGAGGAGGTGGAGTCTTTCTCACGGCCAGCAATCACGGATAGAGCCGCAGTTTCAATTCACAGCCCTGCATCCAAACAGGCAATATAGCACGCTGGCCAGTCCAACGAACCTGCGAACTCTAAAGCTGGGTGGTTCACGGTGTGCCAACCTCCAAGCAGTCTAGTGACTTGTGGACTACCAGTAGTGCTCCGGGACTAGTGGTCTCTACTACACAGTACTACCCAGCACTACACAGGACTAATGACCGAGGATGAATTGCGATGGATGCCTGGCGTACAGAAAGCTGGACCCTGAGGGCCCTGGACCCTGATGGTCCACCAGCAACATGGGAAACCATTGGCTGTGCAGGCGAGAATCGTAAAATTAGAAGCAGCGGCGTTGCCAGACGTGCCCCGAAAACCAATCAGCCTCGGGGCCAAGACCCGCAGACCCTGGGAAGTCAGTCTGAGACAGGGGAAATCTTAACTGCAATTATCATCGGTCGTGTGTTCCGGGGCAAATCCATCCATCCCAAACATCGTGTTCCATTAATTGCAATAGGGGTACCACTAGATTGATTTCATGTTTGAGAATAATTTTTGTCCCCCACCGATCGAGATATACAAGCAAACAGCTCTCTCGGTCTAGTTGCCACTATTCCTAACGATCCGCAGGCTTGTCTCTCGCCCCCAAGAACACGTGGTGAGGACCTTCCTTTCCAGTTGGAATCAAAAGATGCATCTTTTATTTTCAACCCAAACGGGATGCCTGATGCCCCAGAGGAGTCTAGTCTGGTCCCTCCGGGCGTGACCACATTCCTTTTTGGGGCCCCCGAGCGGGGGGTTACATCCGCTCTCGCCAATCAGTAAGCAGACCACCCGTGAATGCTCCACTGCCAAGGCTTCCAGGGAAATCTCTTGTCCGTTCATTTATTCCCTTTTGATTGTTGTTATTCACAATTTTCCCTCTGCCTCTTCCCGTTGTCTCACTCCAACACTGTCTTACATAGCCCCCTTCTGCCTCTGCCCAATTGCTATTGCCTCTCTCCTCTCTTGGCCAGTGAACAGTCTCCCATGTTACATCATGCATTGACGTGCCGTTACGGTTGTGTGCCACTGTAGGTTCAATTCTAAACTGCAGCAAGCAGCATGTAGCACGTGTGGATTCTTTCATATGATGTTAGAATCCGCTCATTTGCATGGATACATGGGAGCAGCTGCAGCCTCGCTTCCCCGCTCGTCCCATCGGGATTATTCTCCTAACCCAACTTATTTGCACGAGACCTGATGCTGATGTGGGAAGCACCTCCGGGTTGTCAAACCTATTGGGGAGGAAGAAGGAGGAACAATGTCCTTGGCACACGGCAGTCCCACCGGATTCCTCTCTTATTCCCGACTCTTTGTCTCTCTTGTTGTCTCTCGCTGTCATTATTAATAGACGCGGTGGATCATGGCGGATACTCATGGCATGGATCCGGACAACTCCGTCGCCATCACACTTAAAACCCGAAAATGAGTGTGCAACTCACTTCCAACAAGCACCCTGAGTAAGATGATCATTGATTCCTCAAAACCCTGCATGGTCTTGGCTTAGATGCGTCAAAGCGCCGTTGACAGAATTAGTCATGTTGATTTCATCCTGTATCGCAGGCAGAAAACGTGTCACCGTTTGTGTTGCCTAACGCTTTTGTTGGCGTTTCTCATTGCCTGGGTGTTACCTAATGCTCTTTCAAAGATTTAACTTTATTATATGACATGTTACACTGCTAAAATATATCGCAGAGGTACTGCCAGGGGCCTTTCACGTATGACCTCGTTCCCCGCGGCACTCAGCCTTGCCTTGTAGACCCTGCATTGCCAAGAGTAGTGAGCACATTGTTGTACCTATCAGGCGCTGCGAGCTTAGTCCCATCCTCCATCGTGCTTTTCTCCTTATTATTGACCTACCAACTCAGGTTTGATCAAGAAGGATGTGGGATGACTGAAAGGATGTGGCAGTGATGCCCTCAGTCATCCAAATATATATCCCACCCACCATCCCACCACTCCATCCGTTCGGCACATGACAAAGACTCGTAACTTCGCTACAGCTACTAGTAAGCAAACAGTAGTTTCTTCGGATTGTAAACTAGTAAATATCTCGTTCAAAGTACAACGAAATACACTCACCCTTAGTAATATGATCTCTGTCAGCCGGGCATCGCAGTCCAGCCCAGCGAAGATCACTGCGCCCCGAGGGATTTGCCAACTCAATCATCGCGGGGAGACCTTCGAAACCTCGTCGATCATGACATCGCTCAGAATATGAATGTCACATGCTGACAATCAGTGCGCCCAATGTAGCTATCTGAGGCCCTAAAATCTCACTAACTACAGTGAGAGAAATTGCATGTTGACTCGCAGAAAGCACTCCCGGAAGGATAGAGCATTCGGGTCAACCCAGGTGTGGATCTTTACGTATGATGTGAAATATTTCGTGCTAAAGGTGAGTGTGCATGTAATGGGTCCATTTGCCTATGGCTCTTCTCTATTCTACTTTTTCTATTGAGATATAGGGTACTGAGTTTGCGTACTATTTTACGTTCAACTGCAAATACACATAGGTATCAAGTTGCTCCAAGGAAAACCAGCTTAATGCAATATTCATAGGAAATTGAACCAGCATCAAGGGTCCACACCCTTCAGATCCTAGTAATCTCAGATGTCATGTGGATCGCTACACAAATGTACATGTTTCACACCGCATATATCAATTGAATACTGACTGTGGGTGTCAGGATAGTAAGCCATGAATCTTAGAGCTTCGAAAGTACACCGTTCGTCTCAAGGATAGAGAGGTGACTCTTGTTGATATCTCTGACAGTTTTGCATCTGAATTCTAGTCAGTATTTCATGATTTGTGGATGTCCAACAGCCCCCGAGGAAACTTACCCAGCAAGGCACATGGCCAGTTTGAATTCTTCCTGTAATAGCTTGACAGCAAGTTCCACGCCCTTCGTTCCATTGTACTAAAAGATCACAGTCAGGTAAGGTCCATGGGAGGACAATAATGAACTAACCGCTAATCCCCAGATAGGAATCCTCCCAGCAAAACAATAGTCCGCTCCTAGGGCCAACGCCTTGAAAATATCCGTTCCTCGGCGAATACCGCCATCAATGGCGATAGCTATTTTGCCCTTTGCGACAGGTGCACATTCGCGTAGTGCATCAAGAGTGGCAGGTACGCCGTCCAATTGTCTACCGCCGTGATTGGAAATCAAAACACCGTTGACTATGTTGGATGGCCAGTGCGACATCTTCAGCAGTGTAGACTAATAGATAATGTAAGCCTCCCCACAGGACAAAATCTTAATCAGAAAACCTACTTCCTTTCAGCCAAATTTCGAGCTTAGTTACACTTCTTATCCATACAATGGCTTCGGCCCACTCAATACCATCCTCTAAGAATATATCATTAGTGGTTTGAAGGAAGATTTAGAACATCCATAACTCACCATATGCTAGCCCCTCGCCCGGCTCGGTCAAGTTACTCATATCCAAGCCAGGGGCAAGGTTAGGATATCCCATACCTTTTGGAATCCCAAAAGAGTTTCTGTACTCGTTTAAACGCCGTCCGAGCATTGGCGCATCTACCGTTAACATGACTGCCTTATACCCAGATTCTAAAGAAATAGGATTTAGCACCCGCAATGATAAAAAAGAGAAAGCATTGGTCTTACTCTCTGCGCGCTCAAGTAGCTGTCTCGTGATATTCCGATCCTTCAATATGATGAATTGTATCATGTATGGGTTTCCAGACCCCTCTGCTATGACATCCTCTAACGAGCAGGTCGCATGTGAAGACAGTGCCATGCATATATTCGCCTCAGCAGCAACCTTGGAAGTTCCGACCTCACCATCCGGGTGAGCGATCTTGTGGGAGGCCGCGGGCGAAAATCCAAATGGGAAAGAAACTTTGGTATTGCAGATCGTTGTGGAGGTGTCCAGGTTAGAGACATCGCGAAGAACGCGTGGGCGGATCTTGTAACGGTTGAAGGCATCCTCGTTGTCTTTCACGCTAGGCTTGTGTTATGCAGATATGCTGTGCCAAGGAGTTTATCCCACGTACGTGATGAGATCCATTGCGCCTTCATTGAAGAACTCTGCTAAGTGATCAGCGGACGCCGCAAGACAGAAATCTAGTAGAGCGCGCTACCTTTGAATACTCTTGGAAGTTTCTCCGATGCCTTGGCTCGCAAGTCGGCAATGGAGAAGATTTCCGAGTCTAGGCTTTTCCCTCGATTTGCCATATTTTCGTGCGCGTAACTCAATGGTATGATCGTTGAACAGTTACAGTGGTCCGTCGAACCGTGCTTATATGCACCTAATTCTCTAATCGATAGTGGTTTGCCATCGCAACTGATAAGATCTCTTGACTCGGTCCTGATGGCATCGTGACACGGCTTCGGGCCCTTGACTCGGCTCTGTAGAGACCGAGTCATTACCGGAATATCAAATAACGGATGCTGCGCTCATAGAATATGGTACCCACATCGGTCCCTTCAAACAATGACATATTCAGACCTTCTACTCTTCATCCAGCCCTTTGCGCCTCCGGACCAATGGCTCCAGAACGTGCGACAGGCTAACCCGGAAATTCGGGTGGAGTATCATCATGTGGAGATGTACGCGAAGGAACTACCGTCCATCCCCAAAGAAACATGGGCAGAGGCTACAATACTCTTCACCTGGCAACTATTTCCTCCGAAGGAATGGGTGCCGAAGCTTCATTATGTTCAGCTGTTAAGTGCCGGATGCAATCAGTTACTGGGCATGCCACTTTTTGAAGATACCGATATTGCATTTTGCACGTCGAATGGCAATCATCCGTGAGTAAAATACCTACTTGCTCCAGTGAGCTTCGCCAACTAATCCCTATTCAAGGCCCCAAATAACGGAGTGGGTTTTCTCAACGTTCCTGGCGTTTCAGCATCATAGTAAGACCGAAAGTCAACTTCTCCACAATAATTGTAGGCACTAATTATTGGAAGTTCCGGAATATCTCGAAAACCAAAGGGCCTGCAAGTGGGTAGATCCACCCACCGATGAGGATACAGAGGATGCGGTCGGCCTCAGAATGTGAGTGTAGCACTATCCTTCGCCCTTCTGCTTCATAACAGTGCTGACACAACCTTGAAGTGGGATTCTAGGATACGGCTGCATTGGCCGACAATGTGCCCGAGTCGCCAAAGCATTCGGCATGGACGTCTACGCGTATACATTGCACAGCCGGGATACCCCAGAGGCTCGCCGATCCGAAGACTATACTGAACCAGGACTGGGCGACCCAGAAGGCGAATTCCCATCCGCATGGTTTGCAGGGAAAGAGCAACTAAATGATTTTCTTGCATCGGATCTCGATCTACTGGTCATCACACTTCCGCTCACGAACCAAACCCGTAGTATGATTTCACGGGAGCAGTTCGACATCCTCAGCAAGAAGAAAGCCTATGTTAGTAATGTTGGACGGGGACCCTGCATCAATACGGAGGACTTGATGGCTGCACTGGATGAAGGCAAAATCAGGGGTGCGGCTTTGGATGTGACGGATCCAGAGCCGTTGCCTGCTGATCATAAGCTCTGGGGGTATAAGAACGTCATTATCACGCCTCATTGTAGTGGGAACTCGAATCATTATTATGAGCGCGTGTTGAAGATCTTTGCGTATAATTTAGAGAGACGGGCACAGGGCAAGCCATTAGTTAATCACGTCAACAGGGAGTTGGGGTATTAGAGCGTAGTAGGCGCTATGCAGATATGATCAACCATTCGTGTTCATGGTTTAGTCCTTTTTATCTTATTTCTTTTACTCACTTGAGCAAGTCCACACCAATGCAATAACCTAACTTCGACAAGAAGCATGTATTTAATCACAGCTGAGAACAGGCTACACCGGCTTGCAGGGTTTTCTTTTTCGCCATCAAGCAATCAGATACCCGGACCTGTGCGTGTGGCGAGGACACTGAGTCAGTACGGCACTTTTTCTTCCAGTGCAAAAGATGGGATGATCTTCGCAACGATATGATAGGTTTGTCAATTTGTCGGCTGCGCCAGGAAAATGATCGGACCAGGTCGGCACCGACGGGAAACCCGTCGATGGTTAGCCATTCCGGTGGAAACAAAAAGTTAAGCTTCGCTCGGATACAACGATCCGCCATGCAGCGATAGTACCTGGTACTAAGGTGGCACCAGCGATTAATTTGACATATTACTTGTCAAATAGCTGGAAAGAATAAATGTATCAACCAAAAGAAGGGATTATTCCAGTTCAACTCCATTTGTTCCAGCTTGTCGTACGATTATGTGTGGGAAAGGGAGAAAAATAATGGGCCGAACGCGATTTGAACGCGTTACCCTAACATCTGCAGTTCACGGTAGCTCCCGGCCTTTGATGTTTGGTTTGCAGCCGGTTACTCCAAATATTCGATGATGCCCACGCCCTGCCTTCACAAGTCTGGAACGGTGGATGCCGCAGACCAATGTAACGCTGCTTAACCACAAACGTCTCAATGTACGCTCAACGTCATGAACATTATCAGTCTTACCATCATGACTCTACGAGAATGCGACGCTCAGATGTATTCAGTATACATTAGATCAATGTGGAATCATTCCTGCCTTGATTATGTAGCCAGCGAACCAGATCCGGGAGCTTGAAGGTGTTGACACGATGTTTGTATATACATGTATATATATGGATTCCAATCAACTTGGCTCGCAACTTGAACTTCACCTGCGGAAAAATGGTTCGGTCATGTCGCACTTCCTGCCCATCCTGCGGCCATTTTTTTGCTGACGCAAGCATGCATGTTGTTCTCTCTAGGTCGGAGGAAGCCATGGCTTTTCTTACTTTGGCTACCTGCGCCCTACTGTAGGTTCTCTTCAGAAATGGGCCGACGAAGTCGACGACCAATCCTGGACGTATAAGGAAACCGAGAAGTATTTCGACAAGTCCGTCACTTTCACCCCGCCAAATATGACCACACGCTGGGCCAACGCCACACCCGAATATGATGAGTCCATCCTGCAGGGCAAAGGGCCCTTGGAGATTACCTACCCCAGGTGGGCGCATCCATTTAGCACCTGGCTCCGTAAAGGCCTCGACTCTATGGGGGTTTCTCATGCCCTGAGCTTCGCCACGGGTGAGCTTTTCGGCTCAAGCTGGGTGTTGGATCTCATCAACAGCACAGACGGGAAACGTGCCACAACTTGGACTGCCTACGTAAAAGGCAAACCACATGCGAAGAAGCTGGACATATTCACCTTTACTCTCGCAGACAAGATTATATTTGATGATAAAACTGCCACGGGTGTTGCCGTCACTCGTAAATTGTCTGATGCGTCCCCGGAAATGTTCACCATCAAGGCGAACAAGGAGGTCATCCTAGCAGGGGGTGCTATTCTTTCCCCCCAGCTACTGATGGTGTCCGGAGTAGGTCCAGCCGAAGAGCTGAAGAAATGGGAGATCACTCCAGTTCTTGAAGTTCCTGGCGTTGGACAACACATGCAAGATCATATCGTTGTAGGGGTTACTTACAAGGTGGACGTACCCACCACATCCATCCTCCTAGACGATGAAACCAGGTACCAGCATGATTATCTGTTCAATCATAACTTGACCGGCATGCTTGTCAACCCAGGCCCCGATTACGGAGTAGCCTACGACATCCCCGGCGATTTACGTAACTTTTCAAAGGATGCCCAAGCAGGTTTGTTGCAAGCTCTATCGCCCCAAAACCCATTTACAAGCACAGAAACCCCGGTTTACTAACCCAATTTAACTATACAGACCTAAATAGCTTGCCCAAAGACTGGCCCGAAGCTTTGATGGTATCCTTCCCTATGGGCTACAACTGGCCCAACGACGCCAACTACGCTTCTCTCATGTCCATCCCCATGGTCGTCATGTCCCACGGCAACATCACCCTCAACTCTGCAAAAATGACAGACAAACCCGTCATCCAACCCGGCTGGCTGACTAGCGATACGGACCTTGAGGTGGCTGTCGGCGCTCTCAAGTATATGCGTAGAGTATTCGAGAGCCCGGGTATGGCGCAGATTCTTACTGATGGCAAAGAAATGGCCCCAAATGGAACAGCTGTCACTTTCACCGAACTTCAGAATGCAGTAAAGGAGAGTTTCCGGTCCATGCATCATCCTGGCTGTACGTTGCGGATGGGGAGGAAAGATGATCCTGGTGCGGTAGTGGATTCTGAGGGAAAGGTGTTTGGCTTGGATAATGGTGAGTTTTGCTGCTGTTGTTTTATTTCCCCCATGAGCTAAATCCTCCTCCCTCACACTTCCATTTCTCCCTGTGTGTGTCTGTGTGGGTCGGTAGTCAAACTAAACTTGGGTTGTTAATTACAGTGAGAGTTGTGGACGTTTCAGTCTTCCCTTTCTTACCTCCGTCTCTGCCTTTGGCAACTGCTTGTAAGTGTCCCATGCAATGAATTTAACTCTTTAAATACAGATAATAGGATTCCGTTAGTGCTAATGATATTCGAATGGGTGCAGTTATGGTCGCCGAGAAGATTACAGATCATGCTCTCTCCGACGCGAAGAAGAAAAATTCTCATGATGAGCTGCGTCTCGATTTGTAGGTAGATTTATACTAAAGCGCGCCTGGGGGTTCTCCGTGCTGCTTCCAGTTCGCAGGCGTATGGATCTACCCTTTGAAAATACTTAAGCCCTGAGAAATAGACAGTGATATAAAGTACTACATGGAGTATCTATAGTTAATACATTATTTGATCTGTCAGCTTGTTGTATTGGTATTTAAGATTACATATAGATTACATATAAAAATAGAATACTTGTTCTATATTTCATAGCTCTTTTCTTTTTATTAAAGTTCTAGTTTTTTTTTTTTTTTTTTTTTAATGTTTTTTTGATAGTTTTTTAGGGTAGTTAACAGGGGTAGTAACTATCGATAATACGAATTATTAATAATCAATTCTCTTTTCCAGGATATCAGAATAGAGAGTCCAGTATGATTTAGCTAAGAAAATAGTACATATTTTACTACGAAGAGATCCTTTAAATAAACATACTAATATTGTTATGTGTATTTGATATATAATCAAGTGTACGTCTCTTCGTATTACCGATTAGCTAGCATCTTTCTGCCACCTCTTGCTACTTCCCGACGCTCATAGGCACCCAACAGTACGATGCTGAGTTCCGTATCCACAAGGGCTGGGGACATGCAGTGCACAGACAAATGGAAAAGAGGGGTGTGGCCAATCAGGATTGGGCCGAGTCATATCAGTTTGAAGTGGGATGCTGTTGACTCGGCCCAGTCGGCCAAGGGATTCCGCTTATCGCACTTCCGAGCAGGAATGCAACTAACGAGGCCGACAGTACATTGGTGGTGAATTATGTTTCGAAGAACTACACGGTTTATCGAATTGAAGTATCACATTGAAATGATAATCTGTTGTATGTTATGGCTAATTGATATGCTGAGCAATTTTCCAATGTTCTTTGGCAGATACACACAGGCTAGGGGACATTGTAGTTGAAAAGGTACTTTATGTTATGTTCATGCGCTATATTATTAGGGTAGATATTATGTTTCATGAGATTGGTGGTGGTAATGGTGATGATGGAAATGATGATGGAAGTGGTGGTGATGATGAACCTCTTGCGCTTGGGTAGGATATGACCGTGATAAGGCATCCCTTGAATTTGAAGAGGTCCACTGAGCAGACATGAGCACTTGTCGAACGGCTGCTTCCTCCAAGGCATTCTGATCGGGCTCCGCACTTTGTGAAAACGAGTCTAAAGCGAGCCGAATATTGTCCGCATTGAAGGTGTGAAGGTCATTGGTAGGCGATGTTTCTTGACCACTGATACGGGTGTTGTTGGACATAAGCCGGTCGCGGTCTCCAGCCCGGCCCTCGGGGCTCGAGATCGAGGGAAAATCCCTTGGTACTGTATTCATCTCGGCGTTCTCATTCGATGATGGATGCCCGGTGTGTGTTCTCGTCGGGTTGCTTCCAGGGGGCTGGTTCTGCATCACGGGCTGCGAGAACATCACTGAGTCATGTTGAAGTGACATATAGCCTTCATCTGGGTAACGCATGGACAGAATAGCTGCATCGTCCAAACCAAATGGTGAAGATAAGAATATGTTTTCCGACAATCCGGATGCCATATCCATCGCATTCAGCTGACCATCGGGGCTTTCCCCATCATCCTGCGAACCGTTGTCCAAGGAACTGGCATTGCCACTGCTTGTGCCTGGATAGACTGAGCCGGATCCGGAGGATGGTGATAATTCCGTGGAGTAGTCCTGGTCTTGGCTGGGCTGTTTAGGCATGGTTGCGATTTCTTTGCATAGCCTTCTCCATCGATTCCGACAAGTCAAAGGAGGACGACCCGGTAGTCCCGATGCTATTGTAGCCCATCTATGTCCCAATTCCTTTACCTTTGTCGTCAGATACTGATCTTCCTCCTGCGACCAACTTCTGAGGCGGTTTTTCACAGAGGGGTCTAGAATATCGGTATAACGCTTCGCACACTGATCATCCTTTCGTCCCTTGATGAGAAGTGCTGCCCGGATACTCAGTATATGGCAGTAAAAAGAAGACGACCTAAATGGACAGCGTACCAATCTCCTTCCAAGCAGGTCCTAGTCGCTGATGAGCGGCGAGGAGAATCTCGTCTTCCTCTTTGGTCCAGCGACCTTTGCGCAGTTTTGGGTCTAGGGAGTGGAACCAACGCTTTCGACAATCCTGTTGTTGTCAGTACTCAACCCGCAACCTGCCTCCGGAAGGACGGACCTTGTTTGTCCGCCCTGGTAGGTTCTTGGAGATCTCAGTCCATTTACTGTCTCTGCCACGCTTATCCCCCAACTGCTCAACGAGGGCAATGAGCTTTTCGTCTTCTTCGGTTGACCATACGCGACGTGGCATGGCGGTGGTAGGAACGGCGTCCAGAAACTCTGGGATACAGGATGAAGATGCGGATAAATGGTGACTCGGCCCCAACCCTTCCCCGCATCATCCTCCTTCCGATGTTGCCAATGTTCTTATCTGATGTGGCCACCACCCTGCCTCTCTCGTCGCATATTGTGCATGATAGAATAGAAGACTACCAAAACACTGAGCAAATTCGCGATAACAAACCTTTGCATGGGATCGGTACCTAGAAGAGAAGGAGTTCCCGCGGATGCGCATGCTGGCAGCAGCTGGCGAACACGCTCGGAATCAGTCATTCCGACTCCGCCTTGTCGCGAGCTTTTGTAGGACAGACTGCACATCACGCTCTGCCATGATACTAGTGTAGTGATTACAGGGAGAATCTCTGTGCAAGCATGAGGACGTGGGAGAGTTAATGACAGTCTGTCACTGGGTATAAGGACCGGACCCCTGCACTCGGCTCAACCCACCGTGTGGAGATGCATGCTCAGCGTTCAACTCGGCTGGTGTTCAGTGACTCTGTTCTGCTCGCTGACTCGGCCCCACGATGCGATATTTATTCTTTGCTGATAGCATTAACACCCATCAATTTCATTTTTGTATCTTCTCACCTATCAAGTTTTCACATAATCACCTCTCTTCACGATGTCGTGCCACCCTTTGGATCCAGCCAGCCCGGACGAGATCCGGCAGGCGACTGATTTGGTCAAGGCCAAATACAATGGGATCTCACTCCACTTCAAAGCAGCTGGACTGGAAGAACCACCTAAAGCTGCTCTTGTTGACTTCCTGGACGCAGAGCATCATGGTCGGCCCCTTCCCTTCATCCCCCGTCAGATCTTCCTCATTTGGTATATTGAGTACACCCCTCGTCTGTTCGAAAGCATCGTGGACCTTTCCGCACAAACTATTGTCCATCACAAGGAGCTTCCACGCGACTTTCATGGTCCGGTCGATCGGGCGGAGATGAACGAAGCGGCGCAAGTTGTTATGAAGGATCCTCGTGTTCAGGCGGAGATCAAGAGACTTCAAATTGATGAGACCACCGTCGTCCTCGATCCTTGGGATTACGGCGTAGATGGCGAAGATACACAGACTCGTCGAACCCAGGTACGGCTCCCTGATCTGCGGAGTCGTGCAAACGCAGCTGATAGGTTCATTTATAGGTCTTCATGTATATGCGCAATCCCGAAAATAATGACCCTGACTCCAGTCATTATAGCTTCCCTCTGGATTTCATGGTCATTGTGGATCTTTGCAAGATGGAGGTGATAAAAATCATTCGTCTACCCTTGGGATCAGACCAAACCGCCACGGCTGTTGGCTCGGCTGTGCCCCATCGGCGGACCAACCCTGTCGAGCCAGAATATGATCATCGCTTGCAGAAGAGTCCTCCTCGAACTACCCTGAAGCCCTACCAAGTAATTCAGCCAGAAGGGGCGTCCTTTACTGTCAATGGATACTTGATCGAATGGGAGAAATGGCGCTTTCGTGTTGGGTTCAATTGGCGTGAAGGTGAGCTGTACTTCAAAGTTTGGAGGATGACCAAACACTAATCCTGGTCAGGAATGACCCTTCATGACGTGTCTTTTGATGGAAAAAGTGCCTTCTATCGTCTCTCTCTTGCGGAAATGTTTGTGCCATACGGCGATCCCCGTAACCCAATTTATCGAAAGGGAGCATTTGACCTAGGAAACGTCGGTGCAGGTGTAACTGCAAACAACCTTCAATGTACGCTCTTTACCCTTTGTCCAGGAATGCGACTTATATCTGACAATATGACCCATAACAGTGGGCTGTGACTGCCTCGGTCTCATCAAATACCTTGACGGATGTGTTGTCGCCAAAGATGGTAGCCCTGCGCCTAGGCCGAACGCCATTTGCATCCATGAAATAGATAATGGAATCCAGTGGAAGCATACAAATCACCGAACTGGAAAGGCAACGGTAGTGAGAAAGCGCCAGCTTGTCTTGCAAACGATCATCACTGTGGCGAACTACGAATACATCTTCATGTGGTACTTCGATCAGTCGGGAGAACTCACCTTCGAAACCCGTGCTACGGGCATTCTCTCTACCCAGCCAATCGACAAAGAAGCCAAGGTAGCCTGGGGCACCCGCGTTGCAGATGGAGTGATGGCCCCGTATCATCAGCATCTCTTCAACCTACGTATCGACCCAGCCGTGGGCGGTCACAAGAACAGTTTTGCGTCTACCGATACTGTCCCCCTTCCCTGGGATGAGGATCTGAACCCCCTTGGTACCGGATTCATAACCCAACAGCAGATCCTTGATCGGGCTGGAACTGTTGAGGATGACATTTCGAAGGGAAGAGTCTTCAAGATTCTAAACGAGAATGTCCAAAACCCCGTGTCATTAACTCCAATTGGGTACAAACTGGTGCCTCATCGCTCTCAGGTAAGCCGATCGGATTATTAAATCTTGGACCACACTAACGACTATAGATGCTGCTTGCTCGCCCCGGCTCCTGGCATTCGCGCCGGTCGGAATTCTGTGAGAGTCCGATCTGGGTCACCAAATACAAGGACCGTCAACTGTTCCCAGCGGGTGACTACACGAATCAGTCCCTTGGCGGTACTGGTATCAAATCATGGATTAGCGAAGCTCGAGATTCGGTCCGAAACGATGATATTGTCATCTGGCATACTTACGGCTTC